ATAACAGGCAAATGACCATGGTGTTCATAATAATAGGGAGAAGTACCGTGTCTCCTCTGAGAACTCCTGAACTCTTGTTGTAGCTTGAAACACAGAGATATAATTGGAGAAATTTAGTGTCCAAAATGATGGGATCCCTTTCCGTTGTCAGAGTTCCCACTAGCAAACTCCAAACCAATAAACTTCAAAAGAAACTTTTCCTCAGAGTTCTATTTTAGAAATTTGGGTTTCAAATTTCTTAACAACCGGTTCTGTGGACGGGGCCTAATTTGTGGGCATGGCTTGGTGGTCATGTGACGGGGTGGGTGTGGCTTGCTGACTGGGTATGGTTTGGTGGTCATGTGACTAGCTGGGCATGGTTTATATGTAAATATTATAAATATTTATGTAAATATTGAATTTTTTATTAAAAAAGAGCAACTTTTACCCAAAATCAGGCTAAGCACACACTTAGTCCAAATAACTCTTGTTTTATTTCAACACTGAGAATTATGTTCATTCCCAGCCCTGCAATGTGTCCCAAACAGTCCCTCGAGATAAGCATCCACCTTTCTCTCCTTTGAATTGCTGCCACCAACTAAAGTGCCAAATGAACTATAAAAAAACAAAACGGAGTACAAAATCCACACAGAGCTTCAAGTTTTAATCTGAACAGAGTGAATGACTTTGCTTCCTGCAAAGGTTTCTCTACCTTTGTACTTCCTTTATACCTTAGGGGAGGGGCAATCGCCTCCAAGCCTTACTCCCGAGTCACCCCTTTTGTCTTAACTGCTCTTGCCTTTTGGCAGCTCTGCACATATGCGCAGTGGGAACAGGCTCCCCTTATTCCTCTGCCTTGCTGCTGCCAGATTCTGGAGGCTCCGGAGTCAGCACATAACTCCCAGATGATCCTGGCCCCATCTCTGCATCGGATGCAGGACCCTTGTCCAAGTCCTCCCCAGACTCCCGGAGTGGTCCCTGTTCTTCCCCACTGTCCGATTCTGCTGTCTCCCACACAGGCTGCTGGCAAACCACAACAATAATAGGAGTAACCCACCACCATTACAATAGCAAAAGAGACCAAGCTCACTACATGGCACAACCCTAGCAACATCTCAGAACCCTATAAAAATCCATGCAACTCATCAAACCAGTTGTCAGCTGCCCCAGAACTACATGCTGCTGTTGGTTCTGCTCATCAAACAGAGTCCTTCTTTCCAATCAGCCTCCATTTTTATTTCCAGCGTCTTTCTCCCAGCATGGACCCAGACCGGATTCTTTCTTCCAACATGATCTCTGGTGAGAGTGAGATGGGGTAGTGAATTCATACTTGCTCTCCTTGACCAATCTGGCTTTCAATACCATCAACCATAGTATTATTCGGGGGCAGATATGGGATTTGGGGTTGGGTGGTGTGGTATTGTGCTGGCTCAGTCTAGGCCTGCCTGCCATGGGCCTCCCAAGGCCTGAGATGTCCCATGCTTCACTTCCCACCCCTTGGGTCCCAACAGGCCTTTCCCCCACTTCCACCGGATCCCTCCAGGCCTTAGGGCCTGATTCTCACCCCATCAGGCAAACATCCTTCTCACTTAACTTTTGAACAATTCCAAGGCCTTTCAGAGTACAGGACTGACTTTATTCTTTGGTAGAAGTATAAAAAAAACCAAGAATTTAGAAACCAAATAACTTCTATTTTTAAACTGTTTATTTTTGCCATTGCTTGTTTTGTCTCTTTTTTTCTTTAATATGCACAAACAATAAATAATAATTCAATCAATATCTTAGTAACAATATAAAGACAAAAACCTTTAACAAAGTGTTGGATGTATTTTCCAGTAGTTTATTAATGCCATATTTAGCTTTGGATGTAAAATTTACACAACTTTGGGCTTATCAACACTGTTATCTCAGAAATCATAGTTAATACTGAAATAAACTTCTTTACCTTTAAAGGGTAATTTATCCAAAATATTAGTGTTAATAATCTCGTCAATAATGTATACAGTAAATACCACTGTACCCAAATAATATAATGTACTACTTGTATTTATAATACAATGAAGTATTTTTTAAAATAGGAATTAAGAAATCATTGACAACCAATTACAGCATACCATTTTCTATTTTTTTTGGCAAAATATCTTGTAATTTGTGACCCTCTTTAAAAGCATTTTTCCTTTTACTAATTTCCTTCTATTTATCGACACGACTTAGGCATTTTTCTTGCCCTTTCTTGCTTGATGGTTGAAAAACTGTTTCAAATCGTTCTTTAACTTACTTTGTCTCTGAAATTTTCATCTCCATTTTTCCTGGTTATTTAAAAAAAATTAAAAACAATTAGGATCTTTTGTTTGAAATTCTGGATTTTCTTCCTGCATCCCACAATATTTTTTCACCATTTCTCATAGCGGGTTCTCTTTCCTTCAGTAATTCAAGTGTGTCCAGTTTGTCTGTATTCTTTTTACTAAATTAGGTGTATTCTGATAACCCTCCAGCTGTAATTACATCCATTCTTGAATTCTTCAACTTTCATCTGTACACCTGATGCTTATAATTCAATCTTTTATGATTTCCATTGGAAAATATCCTGGATGAAAGGACATTTCTCCAGCTTCTGATTTCTACTATATGATTTTAATATACTCCATAAATTGGTGTCCAGATGTAAAGTTTGCATTTATGTTGCCACAGGTCTTACAAAGAGCAGGATGAATAAACCAACCGATCCAAAGCCCAGGAATCAATAAAGAGGGAAATTAAAAGACAAGCTTCCCTAGCAAGAAGAGCGAAAAGGAAAGCAGACAGCAGCTGAGAAGAAAAGAGAGTTATTTACTTCCCTCAGAACTGTATGAGAGAAAAGTTATCCAAGCCATTTCACGCAGTTGGAGTCAAGATTCAAAAGAAAAGAATCAAGAATTTGGGCAATTACAAACAAGTTAAAAAAAGCGGGAGGGGGAATCAAGATTTGGACAGGAGCAAAATAGAAAACAAATTTGAATTGACAGATTGAATTAAGTTAAAAAGGAGCACACCCCTACAGAGAATAGAATAGAAAATCGTTATGGCCAAAAGATAAGATTTAAATTAGGATAAAATAATAGAGTTAGCACTAGGGCAATTATTAAATATACCTCCCACTAGTGTACAGTTTAGGGGCAAGAATTCCACCTGGAAATTGGTCAGAGGGCTATAGAATTAGCAGCTACCTGGGTGCAAGAAATGGGCGCTGCAACCGTTGTAAATACACACCAGTTGCCAAGTGCCCAAATTTTGATCACATGACCGTGGGGAGGCTGCAATGGTCATAAGTGCGAGGAGAAGTCATTTCTTTCAATGCTGTCATAACTGAACAATCTCTAAATAGTTGTAAGCTGTCATGCCCCCGTTGGAGCCTGGATCTGTGGGGGAAGATGAGCTGGAACTGGAGCCGACAGAGATCGAGGGGGCGGTTTTGTTGGTTTCAGAGAATGGGGAGGAGCAGGCCCATTTCAGGCCAGGGCCTTTCAGGATTAGGACAACATGGAGGCAGGGAGGAATAGGGGCAGGATGACCAAGAGAGGCTAAGCAATGAACATGAGAGACAGAGCTCAGGCAATAAACAAAGACCGCCCCTCCTGATCCTCAAGCATGGAGAGTGGAGGGTAGGTAAGAGCAGCGCAGACTAACCCAGCTACTCGGGGGGAGAACGCCCTGCCCCTCTTCTTCACAAGGCACACCTGGGGACTGGGACTTAAGGAGACGCTGTGGGGAGGGGCATTTGTCGGGAACAAACACTGAATTCATGGAGTGTTGAGTGCTGACGTTTGAACTTTCCCGAATTCCTTACGTTCTTCCTGGATTTCTGGATACTTGCCTTGCTCCTTTGATTGCTCGGCCCCTCAACTTGCCCTGCTGGATTTCTTGCTTTGCAGCCGTGGTGCTCACAGCATTGGGCATGGCTATTTGCAACCAGAGGCTGCTTGAAGTATGTCGGTGGGTGTGTCATCAGTCTGCTCTGGGACTTGCCAGAAACATGGCGTCATGCCCCTAGTGGAGTCTGATTCCGAGGGAGAGGTGGAACAGCTGACAGGGAGTGGGAGTGTGGCTCCGGTGGTTGTGGAGGAAACTAGGGAAGGGCACAGGCCAGATGGGCATTCAAAGGAAGACACAGGCCATCCCCTCTTCATCCTAGGGCACGCAGGGAAGAGCGAATAAGGGAGAAACGTGAGTAGCATGGTCTACGGGGGCGGAAGGGGCTCTGATCCCCTTCATGGGCTGCAGCTGGGAGGACTGGTTAAAAGGACAAACTGTGCATGGCAAAGTTGCTGGAAGCAAAGCGCGCATTCTTGTCAGAGCTTATCTGTGTTTTGGCTTCCTCCCAACTGTGGTTACTGCGTTATCTGGTAGAAGTCTGCAATTAATCACCCTTGCCTGCCGCAGTAATTCTTTCAGTGTGGTATGTTGGGTTTTTTATTTTGAATTAACTTTACTTCGGGTGTGGGCTGCATTTACTCCCTCTGTAAACTGTTTCCTTTAAGAGTTTGATATCCTGCCGAGGATAATTGGACGTTGGAGCCAAGTTGAAGGCATTAAAAGGACTTTCTTCTATTTTTGTGACTTGGTTATTTTTATGTCACACCTCGGGTCATCACATTGGGAGCGTCTGGGGACATTTGGAGCAGTAAAGGGGCGGTTTGAACTGCCAACTGCCTATGTTACCATCATGCCATGCCCACGTCATCATATAAGTCAAGCACTATCAGGAGTCCTTTTATAACCCTTCTCTCACATCAATGTATTTATAATTACACTGATTATCTCATGTGCTCTAACATCACTCTACATATCACATATTCAAATATTTCTCCCTTGACTTTTCATTTGATACAAAATTCCTCTTTCTCCACTCCAAGCATCCAGACGGCTTCTCTCGGGTTGTCTTTTTGTTTCATACATTTACTACTGGAATCAACTTGTATGCGCACACCATGAATTTGGCTTCTATCCCGTGTGGATCCTTTTGTGCATCATATATTGGCCACTCTGACAGAAGCTCTTTCCACACTCCGGACACTGATAAGGCTTCTCCCCCGTGTGAATTCTTTTGTGGGTCATTAAGCTGCTGTTCTGACTGAAGCTTTTTCCACAGTCCGGGCACTCGAAAGGTTTCTCCCCAGTGTGGGTCCTTTCGTGACGAGTAAGGGCACTGTTGTGACTAAAGTTCTTTCCACACTCCAGACAACGATATGGCTTCTCCCCCGTGTGGATTCTTTTGTGGGTCATTAGGCTGCTGTTCTGACTGAAACTTTTTCCACAGTCCAGGCACTGGAAAGGTTTCTCGCCGGTGTGGGTCCTTTCGTGACGAGTAAGGGCACTGTTGTGACTAAAGCTCTTTCCACACTCCAGGCAATGATACGGCTTCTCCCCCGTGTGGATTCTTTTGTGGGTCATAAGGCTGCTGTTCTGATTGAAGTTCTTGCCGCAGTCCGTGCATTTAAAGGGCTTCTCCCCTGTGTGGATCCGTTCGTGATTCGCAAGGTGTCCCGTCATACTGAAGCCCTTCCCACACTCCGTACATTTAAACGGTTTCTCCCCTGTGTGGATCCTTTCGTGGATCCGAAGTTTGCCCCCGTGACAGAAACCCTTTCCACAGTCCGTGCACTTGAAGGGCTTCTCCCCTGTGTGCGTCCTTTCGTGACGAGAAAGGGCACTGGTGTGACTGAAGCTTTTGCCGCAGTCCATGCACCTGAAGGGCTTCTCCCCCGTGTGGATTCTTTCATGATTGATAAGGCGGCCTCTCACCGTAAAGCCCTTTCCACACTCGGCACACTTAAATGGCCTCTCCCCGGTGTGGATTCGTTCATGGATCCTGAACTGAGCTCTCTTCCAGAAGCTCTTTCCACAGTCCCCGCAGATGTACGGTTTCTGCCCGCTGTGGATTCCTTCGTGCTTCATGAGGTCACTGCTCTCACCGATGCCTTCTCCACACTCTTCGCATGGGGTGATGTGCGCTTCCATGCTTCCTGATGGGTAGGAATCCTGCCTTCCGTTTATGTTACAGGTTGTTTCACTACTGTTCATTTCCTCTTGATTTTCAAACATCTCTTCATCCGCTTCATCTTGGGCTGTTCGCAACCGTGCTGCGCTCTCCTCCTTATAATTTTCTGTCTCCTGTTCGCAGGCCGCTTTAGAAAGCAAAGGAAAAGAGAAAAGAAAATATTTTGAGCAGAAATAGAATAAAGTTTACCACAAAAAATAAGCTATACAGTGGTGGGATTCAAAAAATTTTTGCTACCGGTTCTGTGGGCACAGCTTGGTGGACATGGCTATTTGGTCATGCGATTGGGAGGTCAAAAGACAGAAACTCACTTTCTGGAGCAGGGGATTGGACTAGATGACCTCCAGGCACCTTCCAGCCCTGGATTGCTGTGCTGTCTCAAAGCATCCTCTGAAGCTGCGTCTAGCGCAGGGGTCTTCAAATGTGCCAGCTTTTAAGATTTGTGGGCTTCAACTCCCAGAATTCCTCCTCCGGTCATGTTAGCTCAGGAATTCTGGGAGTTGAAGTCCCTAAGTCTTAAACTTGTCAAGTTTGAAGACCCTTGATCTAGTGGCAAGGTTTATGGAGCTTCCTTCCTCTCCTTTTTCCCTCCCTCCCTCCCTCCCTCTTTCTTTCTCTTTTTCTTTCTCTTTCTTTCTCCCCTCCCTCTCTTTCTTTCTCCCATCCCCTCCTCTTTCTTTCTCTTTCTTTTTTTCACTTGCAGCACGTTTTTGGCCTACTGGGCCTCAGGGAAGCGCTGGAAAAAGAAGCATTTTGAAGCAAGGGATGGGGAATCAGCTATGCCACGTGATTTAGATTAGATAGAAAACAAGAAATCAGACGTTTTCCTGCTTTCTAGCTCATCAAAATCACATGGCACAGCTGATGGTCACCCAACTGATAATCAGAAATATCTGTTCGGCTGAACCAATAGCATTTTTTGCTACCGGTTCAGTCGAACCGGGCTGAACCGATAGAATACCACTGATAATACCAATGATACACACGGAAGAAGGAATTATTCTGAAACCATAAAATAGTATGTGTGATGGTGAGGGTCAACATTTTTTCTTCATAATGCATAGCTAAGACAGGAGATAAAGCTCTCTCCTCACAATCAGAAGGCTGTGAGTTTGATCCTAGGTAGAGGCAGATATTTCTCTCTCTGGGCACAATGAGAACGTATCTGCTAAATAAAACTCTGCATTGGTGACAGGAGGGCATCCGGCCAGTAAACACTCAACTCCATTCAGTTGCCCAGATACCACCCCACAAGGGATTATGGGGTCATTAAAAGAGGATGGTGAATGCACAGCTTAGGCAAGCAGGCAGTTACAAAAAAAAAAAAAAACCAGAAGAAATGTTTAAAGTCCTTAGAACAGGGATGGGCAAACTACGGCCTGGGGGCCACATCCGGCCCATTGGTCTTTTTAATCCAGCCCGCCGAAGATTGGTACAGAATTAAGGTTTGATGTGAATGATTGAATGATTGCATTCATTTTATTTTGACTTGTAATGACAGGCATTTTGACGGCCCGTCTGTCAAATTTTAAAAGTCAATGAGGCCCCGAGCCAAAAAGTTTGCCCACCCCTGCCTTAGAATCACCTGCTAGTTACATGTACGGGTCAAAAGAACCATAAAAACAGACAGAGCAGGTAGCTAGAAAAACAGTGGGGAGACGTTATTCTAAGTTTGGCAGAAGATGCTGGTTTTGTGGACTAAGCAAAGATTGGAACTCATAGTGTCCCAGGTTCTAGTCCCATGATGGCGAACCTATGGCATGCATGCCAGAGGTGGCACACAGTGCCCTCTCTGTGGGCATACATGTCATCGCCAGCTGTTTTTCCAGGTAGCTAGTTTCGTGCATGCCGGAGCACCAGAAACCCAAAGACCAGTTGGCTGGCATGCGCATCCACATGCCGGAAACCCGAAGACCAGATGGCTAGCGCACGCATGCGCACTGGCCAGCTGGTATTCAGATTTCCAGTGCTCTGGCGTGCACGAACACTAGCTGCCTAAGACGCATGCGTGCGCTGGAAACCCGAAGACCAGCTGGCCTGCATGCACATGAATGCCAGCCAGCTGGGTTTCGGGTTTCTAGCATGCACATATGCATTGGGCAGCTAGTTTTCAGGTTTCTGGTGCACTGGCACACCTGTACGCACATTCCAGTTTGGGCACTCGATGCCCCAAAAGTTCGCCATCACTGTTCTAGTCCATAACTCACCCTGGTCATAGTCATGGGTGAGCTACGATGTGACTTGATTGATAGGAGCATGGCCAACTATGTCAAGACTTGTATTGGTTTCCTGCTTCGGGTCATGTCATCTGCATGGTGATGCTACTTCACCTGAAACAGCTGATGGCTTCTCCCAGTGGCTTCATGTAGATGTTAAAGAGGACTGAAGAGAAGACAGGCCAGAATTCAGAAGTCTACTGAGTCTAGCCAGCACAACATGAACCTTGATCCTATAACCCCACTTGCGCGAGCATCACCAGGAGCATCACAGTGCTCGCACCCCCACTTGCGCAGGTGCTTGGCCCCTGGCACGAGCATTGTCACAGGCGCTCACGACCCTATTCGTGCAAGCATTATTGTGGACCCCATTTGCACAGGTGTCGTCCCAGGTGCTTGCAGCTCTACTCGAGCTCGCATTGTTGCGGGTGCTTACAGCCCCACTTGTGCAGGCATTGTTGCAGATACTTGCAACCCCACTCACACGAGCGTGGTTGTGGGCGCTTGCAGCCCCACTCACTTCGCATTGTTGCAGGCACTCGCAACCCCATTCATGTGAGCAATGTTCATGCGCACATGCATTTACACGCCTGCCCCTCCCACAAAACCACCCTCTCTTTCTCCCCTCCAGGCCGCCAATCCGGAAAGTTTGGGGAACTCTGTCCTAGTAGATTGAGGTGATAAACGTCACATAAAGAAGGAAAATAAACCGATAAGCAGAATGCCTTCTTCTCTCTAGAAGATGTCCTCCGAATACTTCGGACTACAAAGGTTTTCCACCAATGAACCCAACACAGAGCAAAGAAGGGCCCTTACCCAGAGCAGTTACGTTTTGAGAATTTTCCAGCATGACTTCTCTGTGCAAAGCTTTTTGTTGGGAATCCAGAATCTCCCACTCCTCTTCCACAAAATACACAGCCACCTCCTCAAAGGACACTGAGCCCTGAAAGAGGGAGAAAAGGTTGCTTTAAGAGAAGTCCCAGGAAGGATTTCTTGACAGTTCTCTTCTTCGTTTGACACATCCTAAAAATGCAAACTTGGCCATGGAGGAAATAGGCATTTTGTCAGCCCTGAAGCCATTTTGGACTGAAGCCATTTTGGGAACATCTTCAGGGCTGCCACAGCCGGGCCAGTTGGAGTGTGGGAACGTGAGGGGAGAGATAGAGATAGCTGGGGATGTGTAGCCAAAACAACATTCTGTCATCCCATCGGAGTCTGAATCTGAGGAGGAAGACAAACAGCTGACAGGGAACAGAAATGTGGCTCCGTTGGTTGTGGAGGAAACTGGGAAAGGGCAAAGTCCAGCTGGGAAGAGCAGGGGAGAGGGAGTTCAGAGACCCAGGCCCACCCCCCTCTTCATCCTAGGGCATGCAGGGAGGAATGGAGAAGAGAGCAACGTCGGTTGTGTGGCTTATGGGGAGGAAAAGGCCCTGATTCCCTTCATTAGCCACATCTGGGAAAAGTTTAAAAGAAATGCAGGCTGAAGGTGGCGTCTTCTGGGAACAAATGGGAGTTTATCTTGTGTTGACTTTAGTTATCTGTGTTCCTGGTCTTTCCAACCGTGTTGAATTTTGCCATGCCTTCACATCTGGAATCCCTTCTCTTGCCCTGCCGGACTAATTACCTCCTCTTGCCTTGATTGGACTTATAGTTACAGTTTTTGTTGACCACATTTTGGACTTGACTCCCTGCAGCCAAAGGCTGTTCCTGGGAGAGTTTTTCTCCAGCCCAGAAGGTAACCAGG